CCGGCCCCCCCCCCCCCCCACCCAAGAGTGGCACTGATCCTTTTTCAGAGCATCGGCGAAGCCCTGCCCACTCTTGGATTGAAGAAGGTGCCTTACACAATTTTCGGACACCCTGTGCAGCTTAAGGTATCTTTCTCTCTCACTCCCTCTCTGTCTTTGTAGGTCTATTCGTATTTTTTTCAAATATGTCTCTCCCTCGCTCTCTCTACCCCTCTATATCTATGTCCATGCATACACATTCCTTCAGCAACGGGCTTTTGGGGCTCATGGGGCTGTTTGAGACTGGCCAGGTGGACCTCAGCAGCCTGCTCTTCTTCACGGGAGCGACCCAGCTCGAAGCTGCAGAAAGGCAGGAGGAGAGGAGGAGGAGCAGGATGAGGGTTTAGGGATTCAGGGTTTAGGGTTTAGGGTTAAGGGGTTTAGGGTTAAGGGGTTGGAGGAGGAGGACGAGGAGAAAGAGTGGTACTCGGGATGGGCTTAATCCTAGGGTTTGGCATTCGTAGGTGTTCAAGGTTTGTTGCTCAGAGGGAGTAGTCGGAGTAGTGGCAGTAACAAGTCGCAAGCTTGTATGTACCCACAAGCAAGATATGGACAAGCAGAGGAGCAATCGACTACATAACGGTGAATGGCGTATGGACTTGGTCTAAAGATCGTCGCCTGCAGGGCACAATGACTATTTACGACTGACGTTCCCCGCCATACTGAGAACCCATTAGCATGCACAGCAACAAAAACCAGTAGAGACACGAGTCAGGGCACACTTAAACCAAAACCCCCCCCCCCAAGTCCTAAAGCCCCAAAATCAAAATCCCAAAGCCCACAATCCTAAACGCTAAAGCCCAACCCCCCCCCCCCCCCCCNNCCCCCCCCCCCCCCGGCACAAAAAAGCAAGCCGAGGTTTTGCTTGGCGTGGCAGCCCTGGAGTCAGCGGAGGTCTTGGAGCGCTACGCCAAGTTCATGGAAGAGGCCCCCAGGGGTGTTATGGGGTTTGGGGTGTCTGGGGGGGGGGGG